CCAACTAGAGACATTTTGTAGGCTCCATGATATCCTGTTACATATATTTCCATAAAGTTAAAATGCCTAGAATGGGATTATAATTGAGTAGGGACTGCACATACATCTTGGGGAAAAATACCCCTGCACCCAAATCCTTCTCTATGTCAGAACTGTCACAATTAGCCCCAGGTGGAAAGAGAAAACAGGACTGTGCGCTCCAGCAACAGTAACCGCTTACTCCAGGTGTGGAATGCTACTGTTGAATGCTGCCTGCTTCCAACAAGGTTTCCTGTGCTGTGTGGTAAAGGCTGGAACTAACGGAGAGCTGTGGAACACAGCCATGACAGGCTCACACCTGGCAGACTACATGGAAACTTGGGGCACTTCCTGCAGCTCTGCCAATGAGTCCCAATCCCAGGTAAGGGCAGCCCCACTCACTTAGAAAGCATAGCTGCCACTTCTAAACAAAGTACAAGAAAGCAGAAAAATGGCTAACTAAACCTGCACAGGAACCAACAGAGTCTTCCTGCACCTTCATATGGAGCCAGGATTGTTGTTTCGAATTTCTTGTTCTAATATTTTACAAGGAAATCTGGTGTGTGTGATATTTTTAACTGTCAGTGGAATAGCTTGTGCATTAAAATTTTTAAACGATGTTTTAAGTATTTTTGTTAAAGGTTTACACCAAACCCATGACATTACAAACCCCTGTGTTAAAGTGAGTTGAATCGGGGACACACGTTATAGTTATCTTCTAGGAGCCAGTGCCCTATAATAGGGCAGGAAATGAAACTGCTTCAAGCTAGAGCACAAAATAGACTCAACTTGTAAAATATGCTAGTGGTAACATTCCCACTGCCAACATTAGGGCATATTTATGTCATAAAAATATTTTGGTGTTTGACATGGCCACTCAGATTGTAATGTCCATGGACATATTCTAACCTTGTATGCACTGAAAATGCCAAGACCCTTTGTCACCAAACTCTGAATCAATGTTCCTCTAGTATGTTCTACTTTCAGAAAACAGGAAACATCCTTGATGCTTTTGCACAGCCAGGCAAAACACTAGTGATTGGCTGCAGCTGTCTCCTGGGAGAGCTCACCAGCTCCCCCAAGAGCAGATTCCTCGTTAATACTCTGGAAGAAGCCAGTCCTTGTCACAGGAATGCTCGGTTTGGTTTCTGTTTTGTTTTCATATTGTTGCTGTTTATAGTTATTATTTCTGATGATATAGGAATTTTATTGTATACAAAAGTACACAAAATAGTAAAATTAACCTCCAGTGCCTGGGACCCAGTCCCACCATCAGAATCAAGGACCAGTCTCGTACTGTCTGAGCTCACCTTCCCACACTGTTTTGAAGCAAATGGAAAAATAAAAACCTACAATTTCACCAGTAAATATCTATGTGTATGTGTGTTTCTGAACACCTTCACAATAATTTCTTCACACCTTAAAGGAAAGTGACAGAACATTTCTTCACTTTTCTGTGTCATAATGTGTTGACACTTGATTTTCTGTCTGTCTGCTTGCTTAAACCAACATTTAAACAAGGCATGGACACAGCAATTGATTAACACATCTTCAAATCCTGTTTGACCCCTTTTACAATTGTATCTTGTCATCTTTTATTTTTCAACATAGTTGATAAGGAAATTGTGTTATTTAGCCTAGAGTTTCTCAAGCCCTTTTCACTCATGAATTCTCACTCAAGAAAGTCTTACACAATCTGGGAGTACAGCCATACAAAATAGCTACATAAATCAAACACTCATTGATAATTGATTGTGAGGAAATTCATCGTAAGATAATTGCTTGATAAACATGTAACTTTACCACTTAGCACAGGTAAGAGCAAATTTTGTACACTGAAATACTAGTGAGTTGGACTTGCGTATTCATTCAGCATAAAGAATTAAATCTTGGCTGAACGTTTGAGGCTGCAAAACACGGATCATCTTCACCACTTTTCAGAGCTGATTAGTATCTTCCTTCTGCAATCAAGGGTTCTTAGAATGCCACTTCGCACAAACCCTAGTACAAAAGTATGTTTAAAGCTTTTTAGCTGTTGAATAGTTTTTTATGAGATGCAAGTCAGCAACTCCAATAGATGGTTTTAAAAATCAAGGATTGTGGCACAATAGAATCCTAAGATATACTAGTTAGACTCTGACACATTCTGAGAAATGATGATTAGAAAACACCCAAGGTTGTTTTATATAATTAAAATAGAATGTTTCTGCAAGAGAAGACAACTTTGCATATAAACACTGTAGTTCATTACACAGCATTCTCACTTCTGGGCTGAGGGGTTTGAGGAAGCGTGGTGGGTGTTGATCGGGATAATAGCATGCACAGTGACAAGTGTGCACGGTGTGTTCAGAAGCGGGACTGCAGAACATGTGATGCAACACGGCAAAACACCTCAGATCATTAGGGGATTGATTCTGAATTATTTTTTGATCTCCATGTGTTCAGAAATCTGTTGTCACTTTTTCACAACCCTCATGTTTAGTTACACAATCCCTTATGGAGCTGCAACTTTCAGTTTAATAAACTGTGATTCTGCCTGTAAAGCTCTGCCCTTTGTGAATGTTGGTGATGGTCAATGTGTGGCTTAGCTTAATCTTTTTCCTCTTGGAAATGAAAAGTTGCATCTAGTGTGTTGATTTTTGGAAGAGACAGGAGCATAGAGAGCAAGATACTACAAGGTGGCAATGTTCTCTCCCACTCAGTATTTGGTTGTGACATGAATGAGTGTTGAGATTCAAGGACTTGGTCCATCAGTCCATAAGGGTTGCAAAATGAAGATATACTCCTATCATTCCTTATTAATTGAAATGTGGATAGAAACGTGTGTGTGTGTGTGTGTGTGTCCCAGTTACCTTTTCTGTTGTTGTGATAAATACCATGACTACAAGAGTAACTTGGTGAGGAAAGGTTGATTTATTCTCACACCTCCAGGCCACAGTCCGTCACTGATGGAAATGACAATTCCTGGCTTACATTCAGCCCTTTCTTACACATCCCTCTACCCCCCCCTCCATTTAGCAATCAAGAAAATAAAGACAGGCTAATCTGATGAAAGCAATTGATTAATTGATGTTGTCTTCCCAGGTATGTCAGTTTGACAAGCAAGACTAGCTAGCCACCACAAGGTATAACTATTTGTGAGGGGATTTTTGAGGGGGGTTCAAAATAATATCTTGATTCTCAAGCAGCCACCAGCATTGGCTAAATCACTTTAGTATCATTATTAACGTGGTGATTTAAACACATCACTCTTGCTTCAACCCTTGGCAGGCTGTTTACCACGTTGCTGTTCCAACTGTCTAATGTACGCTCCTAACTTCTTACACTTTGGCTCCTGAATCTGCTGAAGAGACTCTAGTTATTTTAACAGTTTCTTTGTTACTTAGTAGTTACACGATGATCCAGGTTAGCTTTGCATGCCTCAACCTCAAACCTGGATTAAGCTATTTTGCAGAGTTCTGGTTCTCCTAAACCAGGCATGGGAAATGGTAGTGAGAGGTCAGGATCTATGCAGTAGGGTCCTCACTAGCATTCAGATGCCTGTTTACCCATAGTTTAGGGCCTTTCCAGGAAAGAAAACAAGAAAATATGCCCTACTATTTACTTACGACAGAACATTGCAGGATTTTCACAGGTACTTACAATTCAACCTGAGCACCACCAAATTTTACTTAAATTCCTGTCTTGTGTCGGCATCAGCTTTCTCTACACCAAGAATATGGGCCCTCAGAAATATCGGGAATTCAAAGACAGCAAATCTCCTCTGTTCCATTTATTTATCAGACATCATGTACACATAGAAGTTTCAGAGCAGCCTGTCGATGCCATCAGCACTAATGAGACTTCTGCAGGAAGTCTAGCCTTTTATTTGACACATTCTTCCTTCAGCATGACTGTCTTCAGTCAAACGAACGTGCGTTAAAGCGAGCTGGGCCCATTCTTCTCTGGTGCGTTGTTAGCGCCACCAGACTAGAACACAAACAGACCTCTCATTTCTGTTCTTTTGGTTTACAAATCTGACCTTATTTTTACAAATATGTAACAGTATTCAGGATCCCAAAATCAAATGCAAAAGACAAAAGAAGAAGAAGAAAGAGAAGGAGGAGGAAGAGGAGGAGGAGGAGAAGAAGGAGGAGGAGGAGGAGGAGGAGGAGGAGAACAAGAACAAGAACAAGAAATAGAAGGAGGACAGAAAAGCCCAGAGCTGCTGCCTGCTTCCATGCCACCCTCTTCTCTCTCTCCCTTTACACCAGTCTTTCCTGTTGGCCTCCATTCGCTCCACATTGCATGCCACCCTGATACTGGGGCCATACTAATACCTGTTCACAATGATAATTTTAGTATTCGTGCTGCTGAAGGTACACAAGGGGTTATTCAGAGGAGGAAACTGTGATTACCATGCACCATTCCATACATTTCTCACAGGTGAGCATTGCCTGATCTTAGTCCTAACCAAAAAAAAAAACTTAAAAGGCCTTCTTGGAGCTAGAGAGATGGCTCAGAGTTTAAGAGCACTGGCTGCTCTTCCGGAGGTCCTGAATTCAATTCCCAGTACCCACATGGCAGCTCACAACCATCTGTAGCTCCAGTCTCAGGGAATCCAATGCTCTGTTCTGACCTCCATAGACACCACGCACACATTGTGCATAGACAGTGCACATATATCCCATTGTGCCCTGGACCCAATAAGAAAGCAAAAGTTAAGTTTTAAAAACCTTTTCTTTCTTCGTAGGAAAGCAAGTTTGTATGGCATATTTGAACTCTGTAGAATTAAAACTGAACTTACATTAAGTCCCAGTGGGAAGGGATCAAGGGACTCATCTCTGGGTCTGTCTGAGTTGGAGGCAGGGCACCCAATATGCAGAGACAAAGGCCAGCCCTTTCCTCCAGCCATGCCTCTGTGCTAAGTGTTTGGAGGAAACAGTATCATTTCTTCACTTTACATGCAGAAAATTAGAAATAAAACCAAATATACACATATAAAAGAAGTCAGATAGCCTTTTTTATTATGACATAAAGGTGAAAAAAACTTTTGAAATTTTTATTTAATCCTTAAAGAGAACTCAGAAATAGTTTTAGTCAGTGTGTCTTCTAGTCTCATCACTAGCTATTCTGAGTCTCAGGAGCAAGAAAAGTAGTCACACGGGCCAGCTCCAGACTTGTCCTTACCCTAGTAGTAGCTAGCAACAAAATCTCCATAAATAAATGCAAAACAGACTACCATTTTCCAAAGAGCAGGACACCATCACTTATGGTTCTTGGAGGTGAAGAAACCTCGGCCATGTACTGTAGAAAACACAGGCTTTCAAAGAAGAACACTGAAGCCGATGGCCTAGCATGGGCAAAGGTAGGAAGACCCACATCTTATGATGTGAATCTCAGTTTGGAAGCAACACTGGACAGAGGGAAACATGAAGAAAGGCAACCCAATGCTAACTCATGTGAGGCCTGGATGCAGTCTGTGAGAGGAGGAAATGGGACCATCTAAGGATACCATGTTTAAACCCCTTTGGGCATGATCATCAACAAACAAATATTCATGGAAAACACAGCCCCTGTCCCGAAGAGGCTTGGAGACTAATGAAGGAGGAGGAAGGAGATGACCACTGTTCTGGGGACAGAGGAAGAGGGAAGGACATGAGATCAACAGGCTTAGTGGAAAACTTGATGGAGAAAATGCTGATCCAGTAAATGCAGCTCAGGGGAGAGAGGTGTCTGTAAAGATGCTAATTTTCACACAACTCAAATGTGTTCATACAAGTTGCTGTCCATTATTAACTAAAACTGGAAACCTGTCCAGACCAACTGTGCATTTGTGCCTATGCATGTAGTGATGTCTTGTTCTGCCAATAGATTTGAGGTACAGGCCTTAGGGTATGGCTTCAGTGTGCAGATGTGATCCCTTATAAGGCAGAGGAGGGGTCTCCTCTCTCTCTCTCTCTCTCTCTCTCTCTCTCTCTCTCTCTCTTGTGTGTGTGTGTGTGTGTGTGTGTGTGTGTGTGTGTGTGTGTGGTCTGAGCATCCTACATCACATCATCCTGAGCCTCCAGGGCCAGAAGACTGCAGTGGCTATTTACCTTCACTGTGTGAGTGCTCCCCAAACACATATACACATGTCTGTTATTCTTTTATTCAGGCATTTGTGGACTTCCTTATCCTGCCTTCATATGCATAATGATGGATGTAAGTGAAGTGGTGTCTGGGAAGAAGCAATGTAAAGAGTCTTCGGTCACTCTCCTGGGATGCCACTGCTGACCATGGGGATATGAGAGGCTCAGCAGAAAGCCATCCAAACTCAAATCCTGGTTGTGTTTCCCAGAAGCAGCTCATGATGCAGATCCCCACAGAGAATGTAACTTGGGTGAAGAAGTCCCCAGACTCACTCCAGACATGAAAAATATCCCACCTTCTGTCTTCCTACTCCCTGCATCCACTCTCCATGAGGGTTACAAGGCTAGGAGGTAGAAGATGCTGTAAGGAAAAGAAATCCCAGAATGAGTAGATGGATAGAAGAATGAAGGAAAGAGGGGATTGAGGAAAGAGATAAGAGAATGGAGTGGGACAAGGGGAATGACAAACGAGAAGGTAGGCTCTGTCTCACCTGGGAGTAGGAGTCACATCCAGAGAGGTAGGTGAAGGAGAGGGCAGTATGAGGGAAGAGTTCCCAGAAGAAGAAATCACGGAGCAGGAGGGTCAGCAAGCATCATCCTGGAACCTCAGGGAGGAGAGCAGGGCAAAAGACAAGAGAAAGGTTGAAGCAAGTTGTACTGTGTCTATAGTCTAAGAAGAGCCTCTTCGAAGAAAGAAAACACCTGGCCTAGAAATGTACTTGTTGACATTGCTGAGAGAGTGTCCAACAGCAGAAGACAGTGACCTGTGCCTCATGTGTCCTTGGGATGTCTGTCAAGCAGTGTGGCCAGATCTCAGAACTTGGATCTCACTAAAGGAACCCAACTCAAGAATGGACAGCAAAGCCCAGCCCAGAAAGTAGCACAGAAACTGGGGCTGTCTTGGTCTAGGAAAATAAGGCATAGGCCACTGTCTAGAAATTCAAATAAGACTGAGATTAAGAGCATTCCAAAAGGTAGCTAAAGCAGAGAATAAAGCAATCAACTGTTGGCATACTTCTTCACCTGACCTAGAGGCAGAGACGGTGTCCCCACCACCAGATGAGACCTCAAGATGTTCCTGAACTCCCTAAAACCCAGATCTGAGGAAACACAATGCAGAGCATTAAAACTCCAAGGATGAGTAGACCGGAGCACCCCCTGGGTTATCTGCTCTCCCAAGCCTTAGCTATCAGGATACTTTTTGCAAACTCTGCTTGTATTTTTGTGATGTGGGCCAGAACTGGCCACAGCAAAGGAAATGTTTCTAAACTCCAAACAAGCCAATCAAAACAATTCCTCAAATCCCTTGTGATGGGGAAAATTCCATTATGGCTTCTACACCTAGTCCTTCCAAGTTCAGCTTAGAGAGACTCAAAGATGTCTTTTCTTGTCTGGCATGGTTCCCTCTGGCCTGGACAGCTAAGTAACTTATCTCTGCTTTGTGTCTCTGCTGATCTCTAAAGTCTACTCACTTGGCTGTGCCTGAGAACAAAGCATGGCAGTCTGTAAGTCTGGCACTCATTTGAGAGACTAATAGAGTCAGTAGCAGGAATGCTGCTTACTAGGAGGAGATGATCAAAGTGGCCAAAGAAAAGAGACGATCAAAGGTCATAGTGAGGCATCCACCCCTACTGGAGGCTGTCCCTCACAGTGTGGTGACTTTCTACAGAAGAGCTCAGAAGACTACCTGAACACAAGGCAAGGAAATGTTCAACAAGTGGGTCTGTACAATAGTGATGCACTCAGCTGACGCCCCCAGGAAATCCATGCATATGAGGGTAGGGATGACATTGATGAGTAGGAGACCCCTGATCATCTGAGAAAACTGGGGTAAGAAAACTGGTCCTCTCTTGATGTAAAATATATTTTTAAAAGTAGATGGGTAATAGAAGTGCCCACTGGAGGCTATGAAGGGAAACAACTGAAATTAGGGAGTAGGCAGTGTTGTTTGGAGCATGACAAGGTCCAGGCTGGACATTTGGAAAGGGTGGCCACAGTAGGAGGTGAGTAGGGATCACCGGAGCTAGAGAAGACCAGAAATGATGGATATCAGGGAAAGCTTTTGGGTGTCTATAATCCCCAAACAGCCTCAACAACATGGCAGAACTTCCAAGGAAAGAGATAGGGAATGATGCTTTGTAAACACTTTGGTGAGTGCTCAGGCCAGCCAATGGGGAAAAGCATTGAGAGGAGGGAAGTCTAACCCAGAAGCAGTGGCTGGAACTTGGGAAGAGCAACCTCCCATCCAGGTTCATGGTGTCTGAGGACTGAGAAGTCACGGGAGGTGAGCTGCCTCAGCACCTAGAGAACAAAGAAGGAAGTTAGACATGGATCTATTGAGAGGACAGTAGGAGATACTGGGAGGGCAAGGTCAATGCCAACAGGTAAAACAAGAGAACTCAGAGCAAGGTATGAAGAGGGCTGAAGAGAGAAGGCAGAGAAGAGGGTTCCATGTTCACCAAGGACTTTGAAGGATGGAGCTAAATTGCTCAAAATGGCCTAGTCTCGAAATGTTTGAAAACTGAGAATCTTCCAGTAAGGACTGGCTCCCTAGAAAGGACATGTCTCCCAGCATCTGCAACTGGAATGAGTGGGGGGAGCTACATTTGAATTTGCCTTGACTCTCCCTAACCTATGTCCACCATTTAATCTGCATGACCGAAGTGTAAAACAAACAAATGACAACAACAACAAGAGCACAGTTTCCCCAAATGAATCTAGGAAGAAGAGTATAAAAAGAGAACAATGTGTGTAGAATTCAAGAGCTGGATGTTGAACTTCAAGAAACAGACGAACCCATTGATCCTTGAGAAACAACTAATGTGTAAAAATCTCAGAGACAATGAAATCCGGAGCTCACACAGGCCAAAGTCAATAACAACAGCATGCTGCACATGCAAGGTTTATGTGTTTGCTGCATGCCTGAGCTGGGACGGAATACGCAGCATTTCAATTAGCACATCCCCCTCGTCTGCTCGCGGGGCATTTACTTGCTTTCTCATTAGATGGCTAAATCTTTGGAACATTTAAGGAGCATGGCTGCATTCAACCAAGATTACTCACTAACAAAAGAATGAGCCATTCAAACTCTAATGGCTTGCTGCTTAAACACAGAACACCCAGCGGCCAGGAAGGACAAGGGAAGTCGCCTGTGTGGAGAACATGTAGGGGGCTCACTCTGATCAGTGAAAGAGATGACAGATTCCAACAAACGCAAGAGCTGGGTTCATCTTCCTTTACCAGAAATTTCAGAAGTTGCTATAAGCTTTCCAAGCTAAAAACTATTACAGAAATAACTTGAAAATCCCAAGTGATAGTTCTGAGGCCTGCCAGAAACTTAACCACAACGCAGCTCCTGGCCAAGATGTCCATGAAAATCTGGGAAGGAGTTACTCTGAGAAAGATGTACTTGTAGCAACCAGACTTCTCCTTAGAAAGAATGCATAAATCAATAGTTAAGTAAGGAAAATTAGGTCTGGCATAATAGCATCAGAAGGATGACATTTAAGAGAAGTTTGGGGTAAGACTACACAAAGACTTCATTATTAATATACTGTTGTTATTACTAGTTTTAAAAATTCATTCAAACATTTCTCTCATACTTTTCCTGCCCGCAGATTAGATGTAAGAAAAAAAAAAAAACCAGAAGTCCCAACTATGCTTAAGGGCAGAGAGTAGGCACTTGACTTTGCTATGTCTGGCTGCGGGATCCTGGACAGGACATCATTTCTTCCTGGCTCTGGGACTCCTCACCTGAAGAGCCAGGTCACTAGGCTCTCTTTCAACTCTGATAAGCATTTTCCAGGGGCCTGTCAGAGCCACACATCGAGTCCTCTGGTTCCCCGGGGGTGGAAATGTAAGAAATAGAAACTGGCCACACATCTTGAATGAAGAAGTCACATAAATAGGCAGTCAGTGGCATGCAGGAAAAGAGTAAAAAGGATTAGCCAGGGTGGTGTCTAAGACACCATTGCAGATGGGGCATTGCCCTGGTTTGTTTTCTATTGCCAAAAGCAACTTGGAGAGTAAACAGTTCATTTTCATAATACATTTTATAGTCCACCATCTAAGGAAGCCAAGGCAGGAACTAAGAGCAGAAACCACAGAAGGAACACTACTTAGTGGCTCATTCACTCTGGTTTTCTCAGCTAACTCCTTTATAGAGATCAGGCCCACCATCTATCTAGGGGTGTGCGTCCCATAGTGGCTGGGCCCTTTCTGTGAGTGAGCTTCCCTCTTCCTAGTATGTCAATTTACCAACCAAGATTAGCCATCACAGATGTCAAAAACACAATTTTTTTTCAAATGTAGAATCATGTGCAATAGAACTGGGGTGTGACTTCAGGGAAATTATTGAAACTTAAGACATTAAAGATGACTGTCAAAGGTTGTGTAGAAGAAGGCTGGAGGAGATTCTAGAAGTTAGATTTAAGGTTTACACATGAATGTAAGAAAGAAGTAGATGATGTGCCCGGAGGCATGGATCTGTAATCCCAGATAGCTGGGATGTTGAGGCAGTAGGATTGAAATTTCTAGGCCTACCTGGGCCGCTCAGTGAGGCTGACTCTCTTGCAACATTCAAATTACAAGAAGTGGCAGAGGAACATAATTCAGCAATTGGACACTTGCTTAGCATGTGCAAGGCTCCAGGTTAAATCTCCAGTACAGGGGAGAAGAGGAGAAAGAGAAGGAGGGGGAGGTGAAGAAGAGGGAAATATGAACTTGAAAAATCCAGTGATCACAGAAAGCAAGGGTAGAGCAGAGTATAATTAAGAGTAATTTTATGGTTGATCTCCAAAATATATAAATAACTCAAGAAACTAGACATCAAAAACCCAAATAATACCTGAAAATGGGGTATAGAACTAAACAGAATTCTCAATAGAAGAATCTCAAATGGCCAAAAATACACATGAAGAGTTACCCTGGGTATACAAGTGGGCTTTGGACTCCCATCCAACAATGAGAGAGGCACTCTCACCCTGAACTCTTTGGGGAAGGTCTAGGCCCTGCCCTGGATGAAATGACAGACAATGGACACCCCATGGAGGGCCTCACCCTCCCTGGGGAAATGAGGGGATATTGGGGGGGTTGGTGGGAGGGCACGGGAGGAAGGGAGGGAAATGGAGAGGGACCTGGAATTAACATGGGAAGCAACCTTGTTTCTAATTTAAATTTAAATTTAAAAATAATATATATAATAATAATAATAATAATTGTTTATCATCCTTAGCCATCAGGATGAGATTCTATCTTATACCTACCAGAATAGCTAAGACCAAAAACACTAATGACAATTTATGCTGGAGAGGATATAGAGAAAGGGGAACACTCTTCCACTGCTGGTGGGAATGCAAATTTGTAAAGCCACTTTGGAAATAACTATGGTGGTTTCTCGGAAAATTGGAAATCCATCTACTTTAAGACCCAACTATACCAATCTTGGGCATATACCCAAAGGATGCTCAGTCATATGACAAGGACACTTGCTTAGCTATGTTCATAATAGCATTGTTCATAGTAGCCAGAACCTGGAAATGACCTGTATGGATAAAGAAATTGTGGTACATTTACATAATAAGGTATTACTCAGTGGTTAAAAAACATGACATCATGAAATTTGAAGGCAAATGGATAGAACTGTTTTAAAAAATTCCTGGCTGAGGATTCAGACACAGAAAGACAAACATAGTATGTACTCACATATAAGCAGCTGTAAAATAAAGGAGAAACATTCAACAATTCACAGCCCCAAAGAAGCTAGGTAACAAGGAAGAGTCAAAAAGGGAAGTATAGATTTCACTGGGAAGGGGAAATAGAAAAGATTTCCTGGGTAAACTGGGGGCAGGGGAATGGGAACAAGAGGGATTGGGCTGAAGGTGCGACAGACGGGGAGAGAAATGAAAGAGATGTCTTGATGGAGGCATTTTGGGGGTCAGGTAGAAACCTGGTGCAAGGGAAACTCCCATGAATCTACAAGGATGACCCTAGCTAAGACTCCTAGAAATAGTGGATAGGTAGCCTGAACTGGCCATCTCCTGTAATCAGATTGGTGAATACCCTAGTTGTCATCAGAGAGCCTTCATCCAGTGACTAATGGAAACAGATGCAGAGATTCACAGCCAAGCACTGGGCTGAGCTCCGGGAATCCTGTTGAAGAGAGGGAGGAAGGGGCGGGGGGTCAAGGTCATCACAAGGGAACCAACAGAGACAGCTAACCTAGTCTCATAGGTGCTCCTAGACTCTGTATGACCGCTAAGGAGGCCGCATGGGCCTGACCTCTATATATGTGTAACAGCTGTATAGCTTGTTCTACTTGTGGGACTCCTAGCAGTGGAAGAATGACCTGTCCCTAACACTTTGGCAGGATTTTGGGAGCCGATTCCTCGTATTGTGTGCTTTGCCAGCCTTATTAAGAGGGGAGGAGCTTAGTCCTACCACAACTTGATATGCCATGCTTTGTTGACACCATGGTAGGTCTGTCCCTTTCTAAACAGAAACAGAGGAGGAGGGGATGGGGGAGCAGAGAAGAGGTGGCAGGGAATAGGAGGGGGGAAACTGTGGTTCAGGTATAAAATAAATTAATAAATTTAGTGAAAAATTACACAGAATAAAGTAATTTCAAATATGAAAAAAGTTAATGTACTCAAACATGACCAGGAAGAGACAACACAAATGCTAAGTTAGTCATGGGCTCCATCTCTGGCAGAGACACATTTACAGAGTGAGAGGGGATGGCAGAGTATGGATAGATCTAAAAGGCTCGTCAGCATGACAATGACAAGGTTGTTTCCTTGCAAGCTTACTTTAGTGAGAGCTGCCTCACCTTTACTGGATGCCCCGCTGTATCTCCATGCTCAAAAACCAGGATAGTAGCCCTATTCTGCCCTTTGCTTCTTTAAAGCCTAAAATTGGCAAGGCTAACCATACATAAGCATGGACTCCAACACAGCATGTAGAGACGCTTTACACCCCATAGAAAATCATCGATGAGGCCAAGTCACCTTTGGCTGTTCTTTGCCTCCTCTGTAACTATGGCTACAACCAAGAAGGAAGTGCACTTCAACAATCCACCAGGCCTGTGGGACACGCCTTCCTCGTTTCTTCACCCCTAACAAGTGCTAAAGGGCCAAAGAAAGTAGAAATTACACATGCATGAAAATACTTCATAGCAATTCAAATAAATATGCAGCCTTTTATGGAGAAGCACAAAGCCTGGTACAGAGTTGTAAACCAATGTCCACAATGATGCCCCACATTCCAGCCTTCAGTGAATCAAGGTGAAGTATGCATGGAGCAAGGGCTCATCATCCCCCTTTTCCAGGAGGAAACTCCTTACACACAGCCACGGCGGAGGAAATGACCAAAGAGTAATACCTGGAACCCAAATGCAGCAGTGGTCACCGAACAGGTCTTCAGTGACTGAAACTCCAAAACCTACATGAGGAAGAATAGAAAGCATCCCTGGCCAGAGTATTTCAGCCATACCATCATAGCCAGTGTCCCAGACAAGTACTTTGAAGTCACCTTGTATATGCTTATTACATCCAAGTGAACAGGGGTTTTCACCCCAAAGATGCCTACACAACTGGGAGGCAGAACTGTTTGCATTTGACTTTGAAAACACTGTGGTTCCTATTAAAACTTGGGAGGGATGATAAAGCTTGTAAGATGCTCCTTTCTAACCCCAAATTCCTGAAGTTACTAAGTCTGAATCTGTAAAGCTATCCATGGATATCAAAGTGTTCTCTGTGATTTCCTGTGGCCCCCAAAAGCTCTCCTTGACCATAATGGTGGGGTCAAAGTCTTGGGGAAAGAGTGAACTTTCCAGGGGAATCTGGGAGACACAGAGGGAGATAGTCTGGGATGACAGGCCTGCAGTGTGGAGGGCAGAGATCTTCATCTTTCAAATAGCCATCTGGATGTCCTTGACTAAGCCTTTTGCACACTAAGAGTCTCTGCTTCCCTGACTTGTGGAATGAGGTGTTGGGACTGGCCTCCACCAGCTGTACAGCTCTCCGATTCTCTAGGGTAACAGTCTGTTGCACGGCTGGCTGGACTGCCTCGGGAATCAGAATGAGCCAATTAACACGGCAGCTGGAATACTCGTGGTTTCAAACCTAGACTTTTTTACAGAGGAAGGAGGGAAGATCGTGAACCCCACTAGCTCTGCTTTGGAAAATAGTTGAAAAACCTGGGGTCTACAGATGTCACATTACTGTTAAATTACAAGCTCATTAGATGGAAGCAACATGAAGGCTGCCTGACTGGTCCTGCCTGCAGCCCAGTGGGCAGACGGCTAGCTTCAGGATGTACGCTCCCTAGAAGCTGCTTCCATTCCCAAATAAACCACGATGTGGCTTTTCTGTGTCTCATTAAACTCAGCCTACATCACAGCTGTGCTTTACAGGGCTAAGGGTTATTAGTTTTCCAGGCACCTAATCCAGAAGCCACTTGGAAAGTGACCTGAAGGTCTTCATGAAAATGTGCCCAGGATAAAACACTTTCAGGAGTCCTGTGGGAGTTGTTTAAGAAAGCTGGTGTCCATACACCTACTGCCTGCTTCTTGTTTTATCAAATGAGGATTTTGTAGTGAGGAAGAGCCTATGGAACCTGCCTTTGCTCCAACCACAAAGTTGCGCAAGCACTTTGTCAGTCTGGCTCTAGGAGGTGAGAGCAAACCACCTCTAGCTAGGTGGCTACCTAGCAGTACAGAGCCGTCCTGGGTAACAGCCACTGACACCATATCTCTTTTTGGCTCCTACCTAACAAGCACTGCCCCGCCCTTCCCCCAGGTATGGAATCTTTGCACCAACTGCCCTGCAAAACATTTAGTGACAGTCTGGGAATTCATGCAAAGGAACAATGGAATGCCACCCAGAGTGATGCAGTTCGCCTCATCTGAGACAGTCTGTTACAGTGCTCCAACTGAAGGCCACACACTAAACCTTGTGTGAGACTGGATCCAAAGACTTGACCAAAGCTCTTAGAAACATGATATGTGGAAGAAGCCAGACATCAACCATTGCCTGCCATATATTCTGCCCATATAAGAGCAACTGAAAAGCAGGCAAAGCCAGCCTACACCAAGGACCAAAGTCAGAGGTATTTGATCTCCTTGGATGGTGGATATTGATATGAGCAAAGGGGTCAAGACCATTTTCAGGGTTACCCACAGGAACAGCTGACCTGAGCTAATTGAGCTCACTGACTCCCAACTGACAGGTGAGAACCTTCATAGGACCAAACTAGGCCCTCTGAGTGTGGGTGACAGTTGATGGCTTGGGCAGCTTTATGGGACTACTGGCAGTAGGGCCAGGATTTATCCCTAATGCATGAACTGGCTTTTGGAGCCCATTCCCTATGGAGGGATACCTTGCTCAGCCTAGATGCAGGGGGGAGGGGTTTGGCCTTGCCTCAGTGTGATATGACAGACTTTGTTGACTCCCCATGGGAAGCCTCACCCTCTCTGAGGAGTATATTGGGATAGGGTGTGGAGAATGTGGGGGAAGTGGAAGGGAGGGAAGGAAGGGGAACTGGGATTGGTATGTAAAAATTTTAAAAAGATTATTTTAGCCTGGCGGTGGTGGCGCACGCCTTTAATCCCAGCACTCAGGAGGCAGAGGCAGGCAGATTTCTGTGAGTTCCAGGCCAGGTTGGACCGACAGCCTCCAAAACAATCAGAGAAACCCTGTCTCGTAAAACCAAAAAAAAAAAAAGATTATTTTAAATAAAAGAAAAGAATGCAGGGACCCTTTAGGAAGCTCAAAGTTCTATTTCTTCATCTTCATAGCTGTTTCACAGGTGAAAAAAATAATGAAAACTCTATCAGTTCTAGAAATCAGTCTTCATTTTACCATGTGAGGTTATGCCTCAGTAAAAGTTAATTTAAGATTGTTCTTCATTTTTAATTATGTATGTTGGGGCGTGTGGTGCCTCTGGAGGCCAGAAGAGAGCACTGGACCTCCTGGAGCTGCAGGAGCAGGTGGTCATGTACCATCCCCTGTGGATGCCGAGAACCGAACTCAGGTCCCAACTGTTTTTATTTTGCCCCTTTCCCCTCATAGAATCATAGCATGGAGGTAACACAAAGAGGTGTTACACGCTCAACACTGAGCTTTCTGGAACAATGTGTCTGCAGTAAAATCTCCACAGCACATACTTTTAGGATCTGCATTAGAAAATTTGAAAAAACTAACAGGAGCTAGTTTCCCTCTTTTTTTTCTAGTTTTTTATATTGTTGTTTTATTACATATAATGTATTTGTGGAACCTGGAGACAGCATTAGAGACTCTTTAATTATAAAATAGACAGTTACTTACTCCAGTACCCTGCTTCATTCTTTACTGTTTCTCACTTGGTTTCTCTGACGATCTTATGTTGGAGGATTAACTTCTGACTTAGAGGGAGCTATAAATTATAGACCTTCCAAAGACCCATAGGATAGAAAGGCAGAACGCAGCCTAATGTTATTTGGGTCTCGCTGGGGATCAGCCCCAAATGGCTGGGCTAACACTATGAATCCATAATTAACCTGGTTCAGCCCAGCTCCCAAGAACATATTGGTACAGGGACCTTGAAGAAGTGATGGAATGATGAACTTTTCAGTTCAACACTTTGGTCTTGTCTGACCATACCCCAGTGACCTGTGAAGCTCTGTATCAACAGGAAGCATACTATATCACAGCCACGTCCCACATTCCCCACCCCAGATGTAGAGCTAAACCCACCAAGGGTAGTTAATTCTGCAACAGCCTCACAGTTTGGAGGATATAGAGATCTGGGCAATAAGCTCCCCAGTCTGCCCCCTCCGCTCCAGGCTCTTGTTTGTACCAGCCTGCCACACTGGGTCAGACTTCAAGTCCGCATTCTAACCAACAGCTCAGTCCAGGTTCAGCCAGTGCTAGACCTGATCCTACTCCCTGTAGCTGCATCTCACATGTACCATATCAATAAAGAAAGACTTTCAAGAGTTGATCCTCCTAAGGGATGCCTTCCTAGATCCCCCACGCCAACAACTGGATGTTGGCCTTTGACCACACAGTTAAAGACAAGACAGCTGGTCTCAAAACATCAGCCGTGCCCCTCCCTGCCTTGTGTGCCATGACAAGGTGGTCATGACCAGTTCTTCATCTTTCCTTGGGCCTCTAGGTGCCAGAGCTACCCAGATCCCCATGTGGGTTTAAATCTCTACTCCCTGTTTTCTTCCACTGTCTCTGGAACCCAGTATTCATCTATAAGCCTCTGCATTTTGCAACGCTGACATTCTAGGTCACAATTTGAAGATGATCCTAAAGACCTGTCTAATATTAACTGTTAACACTGTGAATTGAAACTGAAAGGGAATCACGGCTGTAAGTGTCCAGCTTCCACATCATAGCCAAGCATCGTTCGATTCTCTGGTTAGCCTTTGTGAAGTGATTTCATGTGCACATGCACACACACACACAGAGGCACATGCACAGGCATGCACACATGCACACATTGTCTTTTAAAGTCTAAGAAATGGACTTAGACTTAAATTAAGATGCTGGTGCTCCTGAAAGAAGTTGTGGGGAGCACAGAGGTCCATGAACTCACAGACAAGCACTAGGGAAACCAGGAATGTTAAACATACATGATTGTCTCTTCAAGGGAGAGATGCATATTCTGTTTTCCATCCAGAAGGCTGGAAATTGAGGTGGCAAATAGCCTGGTGATCTGTGCTATCTGTAGGACCTGGCCATACCATGTTTCCACATGCAGGACAAGAGGAGGCTAATAGTCTGTATGCCCAAGAGCTCCCCCAAATTCCCACAACCAGGACTGGAGGTGGCTAATAGGCCAGATGACCTCTACACTATTTGTATGACCTACTTAACACCCAATCTTCCCCTAGGCTCCTAAGATAGCAAATGTATCCTATCTCTGTTTCTAGAACCCATTTTCTTGGAAGAAGAGACATGTACTTTGAGAAGCATTTCAATGTAATTATGTTTCCTTGTGCACACAGGATTGTGTTACACCAGGAAACTTTTTTCCAAATTGTACTATCTTAAATATGCCTAAAACAAACTGCCTGGTGTCCGACTCTAGAAGCTTGAACCAACACAGGTTTGAGTCGTGTTGAACCGGGTTTCCTTCCTGTCTCACATGGACCATTACCCTACTGGCCCTGACACTTGCAGAGACCCCAAGTGAAAGCTAAGGGGACAAAGAAGCAAGTCTATACACACAGTCAGACTCCTCTGATATAAATCTCTCTGGGAGAATAAATTTAGTATAGCCAAAACATTGCTTCTGAGAGAAAACTAAGAGTCATTGTTAAGCCAGTGTTCTGGGCAGAGCTGAAGTGCACACAGGGCAGGAAGTCATTGCAGCCAGCGGCCTCAGACCCTGACAAGGTTTCAAGGCCTGTTATAGTAGTACTGCTCAGAGAAGCACAATGTTGGATTGTGTAGACACTGTGTGTGCAATGTGTATCTATGTGTGCACCTGTGCTCCTGGGAAGGCCAGAGGACACTGTTTGTCCTCCTCCATCACTTTCTAGCTTATTCCCTTTAGACAGTCTCCCACAGAATCTGGAGCTCAGGTTTCACCTTCTTGGCTGACAGCCAACAAGCCTCACTGGCCAGACTGTCCAGTTCGGGGCTTCCAGACACATATAACCATGCATGACTTTTTGTGTGGATGCTGCTGACCGGAACTCAAGTTCTTATGCTTGAAGTGCAGGCAAGCTCTCCTCCACACCGAGCCTCTCCCCAGACCTTTGCCGGCATTTCTGGGGTAGAAAAGGCAAAGCCCATGACGGGTATTTTGGTAGTGTCCTTACCTGGTCATCATAGCGATACGTAAGGAACTGTTCCCCTGTGGTGTCTTCAAGGAAGCTTCCTTGAGGAGACAATGCAAACTCGGGAAGGAAGTAGGCTCCAGGAGACTTCTCTGCTGTGGCCTGAAAAAGGGGGTTACTTGGTCACAAATAATACACTGGGAAGGAACTTCTAAGAGACAGAGTCCAAAAAGACCCCCTTACTACAAACACTCTCCTCCCAAAAAGAGAGAAGTGGCCTCAGAACAAGGAGCAAGACAAGACACATCAGTCATCAATTCTGGGACACATGCCCCTTTCTCCTCCTCCTCCCTCTGTGCTCCACCTTCCAGCAATAGAGGCATATAACAATTACTTGCTCATGTTTTATGACTGCAAATCCGTTGCTTCCAGGACTTTCTTTTCCTTTAAAAGAAAATTTGTCTTATTTTTACGTACGTGCCTCCTGTCACACTATATGAATGTGTGTCACGTATATATAGGTGCCCATGCCTGTCTGTCTGCGTGAATGTATGTTACATCTATGTAGGTACTCCAGAGCCTATGTGTCTGCTACTCCATGTGCATGTAGGCGCCTCAGGAGGCCAGGAGAGTGTGTCAGATGCCCTGAAGAGGGAGTAGCAGGCAGTCGTCAAGCCTGTTACTGACATGGAGACTGGAGCTGTCTCTGGAACAGCAAACACTCTTAACTGCTGCTCCATCTCTCCAACCCCCGAGAATTAATTTTCTTTCATTCTTTCACTCCTTCTTTCTTTATTGCCTTCCTTTATTCCATCTTTTTCTTTTTTATGTGAAAGACAGGAGAAGTTCCCCAACATTGCAAGCAGGATGTGTGTTCATTACAGGAACTTTAGAAAATGCAGACTTGCCATAAAAGATAGCAAAAGGTTACCCACAATCCCTGCAAACCATAATAATGACTTTTAATTATTTTACCATATTTCCATTGAAGCTTCTTTTTCTTTTATCATACAACTTTGTGTGTTTTCATAAAGACCCATGCTTAAATAACCCTGTCAAAAGTTTATTTGTTCACGGGTTTAAGGCCCCATTTTTGCCTTGGGAAACTTGCCCACTTTACTTTCTCAAACACATTCCCAGATATGACACTGCTCACAGCAGTCTGGGATAGGTAGGTGGGTGGGTGGGTGGATGGATGGATGGATGGATGGGTGGATGGATGGATGGACGGAC